TTGACGGTTAAACAGTTATCACGAATAGGAAAACAGTCTGTCATATCGGTATGCTGACAAATAGATCCCGCGTCATCGAGATCCCGATAACCATTCTGATAAGACTTTATACCAGGCCTGAGTCATTTAGATCCCGACATAATATGGTCCCGAGTCATTTAGATCCACCGACATTTATAGATCTCAGCCTGTTTGAGACATCTGGATCTATTTATTTTTGGCGGCAATAGTGACATTTTTTAAATTTGAGTTTGGAGAGAAATAAGTTTATCAACCAAAGCCGCTGTCCTTACCTTACTTTGTGTCGAGGTGCACTGGGACTTCCATAGACCCAACTTAAATATATTATTTTAAATTTTGAAATAATTACAATTCAAAATCCTACTTATGAGTGGATTCTAGCTCAGCGTCTGAGTTATACCTATGATTATAAACCAAATGAAGTATCCTATTTCCCCTATAGTATAGCCAAATATTGACTAAATGCTACTAAATAACATTACTAATTATTATCATGTAAATATATGTTCAGGTATTTTAAATTTTATTCTAAGCATTTCAAGGTAACAAAAAGCGGGAAGTGGGTACCGCTCTGCTGTAGATTAGGTGCCGTGCGGATCACTATTATATATTATAATTTATAAGAGTGTTAAATTTGAATCCTATGACAGTTATCATTGAATACGAAAAAACGATTCTGAACGAAAATGATTTGTCAGCCTAGAATATAATTTCCAGTGGTTGGTGAAAAAAGGTGGTTAAGATTTAAGATGTTTTTAATGGCCTGAATACACCAAAATTTAAGTTCTTTTATAATTATTAAAAGCTAAACTTATAAAAAAATCTTGTATTCAATTTTCAACTCTTAACTACTTATGCAAAATTTTTTATGAATTATATCTCCAAAATAATTTGCAAATATTCATGATTTTGGCGAATTTTTGTCAAAATTTGAACTTCAAATGCTAATAAAAAAAAAAACATGTGTCTATGTATTCTTATAATTTTTTAATCACTATAAAAATAACATAAGAAGAACTTTGTATAAAATTTTCAAGTATTTTGATTGGGCCAAAAAAATTTTATCGACACTTCAAAAAAAATTTTTCAGAAAAATTTAAAATTTCAGTTGTCTATAAATAGCTCAAAAAAATTCAAAATATTTTGAATATTAAATCATGTAAAGAAAATGCCAATCTAAATAACTGGTAAAATTTTCAAGTATTGTAGTAAATCAAAAAGACCGAAGCTGCGCAATATATATATATATATTCTATACTATTGTAGTAAGCCGACGGGGTCGTCTCACTATTTTTTCTATTTTAACTCATTTACATATACTACGAGGTTCTTCACATTTAAATATTTTATTATCATACTCGTAGCGATACGTAATTAAATTTGATGGCAATTTCCAAGAATCAAAGCGTATGGGAAAACACAGCCACAAACAACTTTTTCTTGCCCTTTTGACAAACAAGCCATGCACATAAATCATAGATGCGCACGCCTTGGTATAATAGCACAACAACAAGTCCAATCCAGGGTTAAGTGTCTTGGGCGCAAAACCACTTTTGTAGCTACAATGACAACATTCTATAACACACCTTTTTGTCCATTTCCTAGTCTCTATCATGTACAACCAGGGGGTACAGAGAACCATATAAATACAGGTCTCTGTCCGTCTTAAAATTTAGAATTAGTTTCACATTCACATAGAGCTAGTCTATGTCCAAATTTTAGATTAACTTTTTCTCGGGCAGCTACTTAACGTGCTGTCCTCAAATTCTTATACACTTGTTTTATTGTAACAAATTATAACTTTAATTTTAATAAACTCTTGTATTAACATTGTGTCTTTGTCTCACTTTTAAAACCCGTAATCTTTTCTCGACAACTTGATCCAACTGCAGATGTCAAGCACTCATTTATAAACGATAGTGAGAGATCACTACACTATTAATTTTTAAATTACGATTATTGTAATTATCTTCTTTTTGTTAACATAAGATTTACCATTTATATATATTGCGCACATAATTCGAATTACTACCCTGTCATATGTACATCTGCACACGCATACAGATACATGTATACATATAAGAAATTCTATTAGGTATATAGTGAATTATCTTACCTTAGCTTGACTATAGACTTGTCAGCGATTGAATGCAGCCAGTGTAGAAATAATAGATAGGTATGATGTTAATTCACTTAAATATAATATTAATTAAGAAACACAAGTGATATAATATTTACACTGAGTTAAGTAATAGATTTATTATTTATAAATTAAAATGCAAAGACATTTATTTTAAACATACATAAATTGGTTCTCCACGTATAATCATTAATCATCGCCAAAGGCTTAAGACGCACATAGGGAGAGTGTCGTTGTGTCCCAGTGCCTGATGGTCGATGGGTGTCTTCTGAGCCGGTGGGGTAATAAATTTAGATAATGGTCAAAGGACATAACAATGTCTGACCACAAATGTCTACTATCGTATGAATATATGTGCGACTACGGACTAAGTATATATAAGGAAAATGATGATGCCACTATTATAGTTATATGTGGCTATCATTACAGTATCTACGACTTACACTCTTTGAATAATAACAAATATTTAAAATCGTTATCGTTACGCGATTTCGTAAAAATTTAAAATTCAAACGCACTTAAAATTTTTCCTATAATGATGCTTCGAGTTTTCTCTATAGCTACTTGAAGAAAAACCTATGGAAAACTTAGTGTTGTATTTTTAATCCTTAGTTATAAACACAAAACATTTTATGATTTTTCAACTTCAAAATTCATTGCAAATTTTAGCGTTTTCGACAGATTTCGTAAAAATTTGAACTACAAACGCTTATGAAAACTGACAAACGATTTTTAATTTTTTTTAGCTACAATAAGAACAACTCATAAGGAACCTTGTATTACATTTTCAAGTTTTTTTGGTCATCCAAAATTTTTTTACCGACACTTCCAAAAAAAATTCGCATAAAAATCGAAAATTTCAGTGGTCTATAAATAACTCAAAAAAAGTCAAAATATTTTGAAAATTCAACTGTATATAGATAACACTAACAAAAACATTTTGTGAAAATTTCAAGTATTTACAGTGCATAGTTTTTGAATTACAACCATATAAAAAAATCGATTCGGTCGAAAACTGGTTTTGCGTGAAAATTCCCGTTTTTTCGTCATTTCTTTTTTGTTTTTCTCGATTTTTTTGAAAACTGTTAGAAAATGTTTACTTTTTACCTTTATAATGCACCAAGGATATTCACTTTTCCATCGGAAACCACCCCCGAAATTTGAAATTAAAGCATTATTTCGACTAGTTATGCTGTTCACAGACACAAAAAAAAAAAACGTGCATCATTGTAAAATCAATACATTCATCACTCCGTTCAGAATCTAAAAACATCAGCTTGTATACAGCTAGGGAGGACAATCGGCCGGAAAATGTAAATTTCGACCGGCTCTAGCCTCTATTACCATTTCGTCATCACAAAAATTTAAAATTCAGATAAACCCAACTTATTCATTCACGATTTTTTTTTTTTTTTTTTTAAACAACTAAATTCTCATTTTTTTTTAGTAATTTTTAAGTTATGATCTTAAGAAGATATATTATAGTCGATTAGCTAATTATTAGCCTTAGGCGGGGCACAGAAAAAATGTCGAGTGGGTTTTTTGTATGATGTAGGTTAGCGTCTAACTGGATATAAAATAATTGTGAGAAACAATATTAAGATTACATTATGACAAAGATTTTGTTTAATCGTAATTTGTATGAATAAATACATTATAGATAGTTGATTTTCGGTTTCTTGTGAGTCCAGACTTTAATATTAATTATTCTGGAAAAATATAAAATTGTAAAGGTCTATAGTTAAAGTGGGTACCAAAGAATCTAACAGTTCTAAACTAGAAAATGAATTGTTAAAATTTCAATTATGTATACTTGTATAGTTATATATGACTTATGAGTTATGAGTAATATTAGTAAAACTACCAAGTACCAAGTCCTTACTACAAATGGATAACTCAAATTATTTTATAACAATTTCAAGGTAGTGTATTAAATGTATGGTGTATAGATAGATAATGTACAGTCACATTAAGTAATTCTATATACAAAAAAATCATTTAGTATATTCTGATAACTATAATGTATAAAGGGAAGCAGATGATAATGTTTTCCTTTAATTTTGTAATTAAAGTTGAAATAGGGATGACAATGGATTAGGAGTATGAAATACATTCATTCGTAACATTTGTCTTGATCCATCAACATCAGTTATTTTTTGCAAATTATAAATATTTATGAACAATCCTAAGATGCAAAACATTACTATTAAAAGGGTTGTGGGTTTAAATGGTCGTGGATTCTCCTTAAGAGACAATAACGGGAATAGTTATTGGAAGCACCAGACTCGTAGAGATGGTTTTACTGTTCGCTGTTCTCTTTGGAGGTCAAAGTAAGTAATCCTTTTTTTTTCAGCTTTTATCTAGAAAAAAATACATGTTAGATCCTGAGCAGAGCTAGGGAATAAGTACTATATCAGCATTCAGTCAACTAATTTGTATAGTTTTGTCATTATTAAATTATGTATTTTTTTTTTCGGCTGTGCCACCAAAGATAAATTTTTTGTCATAAATATATATTGGTAAAAAAAATTATATGTACATATAATATGAAACCGTTTTAATACATTATATTTACCTAATACAGCTGTCCTGCTCGTGGTAAAATTTTAAATGCTGATCCAAATACTGTTATTTTGAACATTGGTCATCTTCATAACGCTGAAAGAGAGTTATTAAAAGAGTTCAAAAATATTTTACACCAGCGTGCAAAAACTGAGCGTTTATCACTAAGGGCAATCTACAATGAAGTCACTGCATTACCAAGATTTCAAAATGTAATTGTTGATTCATATGAGAGTCATAGACGGCAAATGGCTCGCACTAGAAGAGCCCACCTACCACCAAATCCTGGATCTATGCATGAATTTAAACAACAATTGGAAAATCCTAGATATTTTAGTTTGACGGCAATCCACGACCAAACCTTCTTTCATGGCAGTATTGGCACAACTGAAGAAGAAGGCGTAACGTTGGTTTTTGTGACACCTCATGTTAGAAAGTGAGTTAAATAAACATCTGTAAATATTAATGTATTAAAAATTAAAATATTGAATTTGTTTAATATTAATCATTAACTTGGATTTAGTATTTTTAGGACTAATACAGAATTTTTTTATTGATGGCACATTTAATGCAGCGCCAAGATTTGGTGGTCAATGCCAGCAATTATTCGTGCTGATGGGTATAAGTTATGATGTTGTAAGTAATTTTATTGAAATCAAATAGTTTTAACTTTTTTTAAAGGATTTATAACAGTCAGATATATTTATATGGATATTTTTACAAACAATTTTTAGTTGTATTGTTATTAAGTTTGTGTATGTGTGTGTTATACATATTATTATTAGCATGACATTGCTAGAAGCTTACCAGTTACTTAACATTTTGTGAAAAACCAAATTATATGTCAAAAGATAGTCATCATAGGTACATCATTAGTTTTCCAATATAACCATAGATGCATTGAAATTACAAATATAATAAGGTTTTTAAAAAAATAATTAAATATTTTTATGTACTATGAAAGTAGTAATATATATATAGTTGGTAATATGAAAAAATGGCATAATTAAATTAGTTTAAGTATAACCCATATACTTTACAAATAACTTTTTAAATACATAATATTTATTTAAACATATCAAAGATTATCTGTAAGACTGTAAGTAATCTTATGTCTGAGGAATAGGTTAATACTGTACCTACTGTTGGCTCGTTTTCATACAATTAAACACAGCTATTGTAAAGCCAGTAAAATGGAATTTTAGATGCAACAGATTTATTTTCTACATCTTAAAGTTCCTATCCATTTCGGATGTTGAAAATCAAATTAAATATTGCCCCTATTTCTATCGATAAACATTTATTTTAATAACTATTAAATTATATTTGTTATAGAAAAAACAATTAAGTTTCTGCTTTTAAATACATGTAGGGTTTTCCATTAGTGTATGCACTAATGTCCAGGAAAACTGAACAAGCATACAAAGCGCTTTTTATATACATCAAAACTATTGAACCTACTTGGCAACCAACAACTGTCATGACAGACTTTGAACGCGCTTCTATCAATGCCATACATTCCGTTTTTCCTACAGCCAGAATTGTAGGTTGTTGGTTTCATTCGTCACAATGTATATGGCGAAAAATTCAAGAACTTGGTGAGATTTTGGATTCTAAAATTGAATAGATTAATAAAATTTTAATAATTTATTATAAATGTTTTATTTAGGCACAAAATAATTTATAAATTGTTGTAAATAAATTCTAGGACTAACCAATTTATACAGGGAAAATAGGAAAGTCCATGATTTATTTCGAATGGTAATGGCAATTGCGTTGTTGCCAAACCAAAAATTGGATGAAGGTTTTGAAGTAGTCAGAAGGATGTACCATACAAATATTAAAAACTTGATTGGTCCATCTGAAAATCAAAACATTAATGAATTCTTTGAATATTATAGGAGAACATGGTTGACTGGTAATTTTAAAATATAAACAAATAATATTTATGAATTACGTTAAGTAATTTAATTATTTTTTTAAATAAAAAAAAAACTTAATAACTAACATATTTTTCTATTTATAAATAATATAAGATAAACAATTAAATTAATTTAATAAGAATACATATAATAGGTATTAGATGTACAATTATCATTGAAAAAGTTTTACATTATTCATTTTATTTCCAACGGATAATAAAATACTGACAGGTAAATATGCCATATAGTTTTAGGAATAATGAGTAATATAAAATAAGTCATTATTTCTGATAATATTTATGATTATTTATTTCAAAGGAAATATTGATAAATATCTCAAAATATAGTTTTTATTTATTTATTTTAATATCAGAAAAGATTATTATATTTAACGAACTATAGATTTTATAATATATTTTTTGATCAATAAATTAACTTAAAATATATGCTCAATGTTTCAAATTATTGGACATTCAGATTTATCAAACTAGTTTTTGAAAATATCAGAAATAGTATGAAGAAAGCAGCCTCACCCCGTCCCCTTGAAAATTGTAATAGTATCTCATTTATATAAGTATATCAAAATTCTGATAAAGATTTGGCTTAAAGCTGTTACTAGTTATTGATGTCAAAAAAGTGTTCATTGCCCACCCCACTAAAATAAATACTGATAACAAAACTCTTTGGTAATAATTGGTTTAAAATATATTGTAATATATTTTATAGTTGCACTGTGGCAAGCCACAATTATTTAACTACTATAATTTTTACAGGTATTTTTTCTGAGATGCTGTCAGTAAGCCGTCAAAACAGACGAACGAATAATGTTTTGGAAATTAGTCACAGAAATCTCATGAGCCACATTCAAAATCCTAATCCAAGTCCATGGTTATTTTTAGGTAAAGAATGAATAAAGTTGATTTTAATAAACAATCAATAGATTTTTAATAATATATAATTTTTATTTTCATTTAAAAAAACATACTAGTTCTTCAATATTTTTTTTATATTAGAAAACCTTATTACTCACACTCATGGGATAATGAATGATTACCGGTTGGCAGTAGATGGCCTAGAAGTCAGGCAACCTAGGCCACGTACAAGCAATGTACAAGATAAAAAAATAACGTTGGGCCTAACAAAACTTGACCAAAACCGGTTTACTGTGGCAGAGTTTTTTGGGTTACACTAAACATGTAACGCCAAATTTCGGAATAGAACGACCACAAAATGAAGGTAAAAATTCTAATAGTTGTATTACATTACTGTTAGTATTATTAATTAAAATATAAATTTTTATAACATATTGTTAAATAATTTTTAATATTTTAGAGTTACAACAAGATGTAGGATTCGATGTTGAACCAGTCGAAACTAATAACCAAAATATCGCGCTCGTTATTTATTAGTTTCGTTCAACGTCTACGATCTTACAAATCATGTTTGTAACTCTAAAATATTAAAATTATTAAATATTTGTTATAAACATTTACATTTAATAAAAACCATGATTACCAATATTTTGGTTATTAGTTTCGACTCGTTCAACATCGAATCCTACATCATGTTGTAACTCTAAAATATTAAAATTATTAAATAATTTGTTATAAACATTTACATTTATTAAAAACCATGATTGCA